AGTATAGTTTACTAGTATATTTATTTGAATTGACACTGAATTGATGAAAAGACTCCTTTTATCTACTAAGTTATGATTGTACTTAAAAAAAAGAGTTTTGTAAACTATAAAGTAACATAACTTTAAAAGAGTTTTTGAGACATTTTGATCACTTATTAATACATAAGCAATCCTTTAAAAGATGTTTATAACAAAACATTAACACAATTAACATTATGTTCAACTTGTATTCCCCCCTTCCCCTTAAAAACATTTAAAACAGTTTAAAAGATTGATTATAGGGGTATGAACTCACCTTATATGGGTGATTCAAACGAATAAGCGTGTAATCACATGTGATTCATCTAAAGGGAGTTAACGGCCACAAAATGGAGTGTGAGACCATCGGTGTACGGCCAGGTAGTGTACGGCCGTACACTCATGGTAACAAGTGCACAAAAGTTGTCTTGGATGGTAGGGTTGCTTGTGGAACTATTGCTCATCAAGTCTTGAAACTAGAATTACATTTTGGAGGCCCTTTAGGGGGGGGGGGGGTTGAGGGGTGTACGGCCACACATGGGTGTACAGCCGTACACTCTTTATGTTCTTATGTTCTGGGCGTTTTTAAGGTGTTAAGCCAGTGATCCTAACATGTACTAAGCATAGGGAATGAGTACTTACGATTTGAAGGCTCAAAAGGGTTCACAATCACCAAGAACAAGTGTGTGCTCTTGGTGAGATGGATGAAGATTTGAAGATCTAGACAAAAGAGACGTTTTCATGGATGAATCATGAGATGATTACAAGACTAGGAAGGATATAAAGAAAGATGGAAGAATCACTTACCACTTTTAAAGATCAGGATGAGAAACGGGATGATAGTTGAGAGAGAATTCAATGTTCTGTACTTGGAAACTGGAAGAATGACTTGGAAATGGAAGGATATCATACTTAAGGAGGGGGTGTACGGCCCAACATGGATGTACGGCCGCACACACATGTGTACGGCCACACACTCGTGTTTACGAACGTACACTCCCTAACATGGAGTGGTCGACTTGATTTTGACGTGAAGAACATACTCTAAACAAGGATAAAAGATAGCGGAAACAAGTCTGACACAATGTTGGATTAAATGGTTGGACTTTACTAAGCAAAAAGTTTCGGGTTGTCACATACACACACACACCTTTAACTAATTATGATTTTGAGTTGTGCAATCATTTTAAATTTATAGTCCGTATTTAGTGTGTTGGTTAACCACACATGCTCCACTAATAACTCATAAAGATTGATGTGTACTTTCATGAATTAGCTTACACTTTCACATTTTTCTTAAAGTAACTAGAGTGGGAAATTTGTTAATGGTTCGATTGCTTTTGAGCATTATACTTTTAATGCGATTATGTCGTATTGAACCTATTTGGCTAACGACACTCCACCAAAAAAGGGACTGGTGAGTGAGAGTTGACACCCAATGAAGCCCATTTTATAGGCTGCTTTCTTATACCCCCCCCCCCCCCCCGTCTTTTGAGTATGGCTCCATGAATGAGGTCTACTATTAGTTCAACTGACTAATGTTATACATATAGTAATAAACTTTTAATATATATATATATATATATATATATATATATATATATATATATATATATATATATATATATATATATATATAAGTATACGGATGTTTTTTAAACATTTAAGATAAAGTTTAGAAATTATGTAAATGATTCAAAAATTATTTTTTTCATTTAATTAATCAAATAATTAAATTTAATTAAAACATGAGGATAATTCTAAGATTAAAGATATTAGGAGATAAGATTACTGTAACATACACGTTCAACTATCTTGTATTATAAATTATAAAAGTGAATAATATTACAAAATATTATGTAAATTTGAATGTTGAGTTCTAACAAATGGTTTTAACTATAAATAAAGTAAAACTATGCTTAGAATCATTCAGAAAGTATTGGAAGTCTTATGACATTCCAATCAAATGCGAAATAGTAAAATTTAACGAAAATATAAAATTTGAAATAAGTAAAATTTTATTATTTAAAGTTGTAAAGAATCTCGTTAGAAAAGCTTAGGCGAAAACCTCATCGAACTCCGAATTATAACAAAGAAGTTATGACCAATTGAAGATCCGTGATAAACCGGCAAACACTATGTCGCGTAAAAAGTGAATTTCCGATAAACTACTTTTTAGCCTTAGTGATCTTAATGAAAGTTTTAGAACTCGTTAAAATAATAAACTTTCATATAAAGAACTTTTAAATCTAACATCGTATGAGGAAGTTATGATTTTTCTAAGTTTCGGAAAAACAGTAGACAGCTAAAAACTCGAAATAAAGAGCGAGCGATATTTAGCCAACACAACCTAAACCAGAATCGAAGGTCTCATCAATAGTAGTACAACAGTAAAAAGTCTGACAAAAATGGACATCGGAGGAAGAAGTTATGAATTTTTAACGGAGTTTTCCTGTCCCGATCTGTTAAAAATATTAATATTAAAATTAAAGTCAAAATTTGCCGACAAAGTTTAGCGCAAGTTGTAGAACATAATTTTACCTACGCGTGCATATAAAGAACGTCCAAAATGGAGCTTTTATGCGAAAGTTATGGATTTTAGAAGTTCGGGGATCAAAAACCGAGAAATAGTGGATAATATCGGGAATTTTCGCATGAACAGTACCGACCACATCACCTCACCCGAGAAATTGTCCCATGTCCAACATCGATGAGTCATCCGAGCACCAGTCGACGCGTACCGCTTCTGGATTCGACCGAAGTCGCAGCCAACCGGTGTCTGATGTGCCTCGCAGCGTGTCCGAGCTCACACCGAGCCACCTATCTCTCTTCCTCGCTACCTCCTGTCTTCGCTGACTCACCCTTCTTGGCCGACCTTCACATCTGCTGCCGTGTGTTCGCTTCTTAGCAATCAGATCCGAAGCTTGCACCCTATAAAAGGGAGGCCTGCAAGATCTTCCGACTACTTTTGGAAGTTTGCCATTTTCACCCTTTTTCTTATATTTTCACTATTTTGACATCCCCCGAAGCCCCGGTATTAATTTTAACACCCAAAACAAGCCTCGAAGACCCCGAGAATTTTATCTTTTCGGTTTGAAGCCCTACATTCGTAGAGCCCGGTTTTCAAGAAAGCTCCCGGTTTTTATAGAAGAAAGTTATTTATAGTAACCAAGTGATGCCCAAATTACTATTTTGACCCCGGTTAATACACAGTGAGTTCAATATATAAGAACAATTATATGTTATGTGTTATATGTGCTATGTGCTCTTCAGTGTTATTATTTCAGGTTATTTTCACGTGATATTATGGTATTGACTTTGAGTCTTTGGGCATGTAGAGCAAGTCTCGTATTGGTAATATACCTTTGATCATGTAGATCATGTCTTATAATATTTTTGGTATTGGCTTTGTGCCTTTGACCATGTAAAGCATGACTCGTATATCTTTTGATATTGGTAATGGGCTAGGTCAAAAGCCTGTATATGCTAGCAAAATGATAATCATAAATTTATATGTCTTCTATGTCATTTGGGCTGAACTTTATTGACGTATATCAAGCATTGAAAACTATATCTTTGAATAAAGTGTTTGATTGATATGTACGCCAGTCACACGATTTCACATATGTCTTTGTTGTTCCTCTTTGCTTCTGCCATATTGATGTACATATATGGCATAACGTTATATTGTATCTATTATTGAACTCACTAAGCGTCACCGCTTACCCTCTCAATATTTTAACAAATTACAAGCAATAATCATCAAGTATAGCCATATACTGTCGGAAGAATTAGAATAGTTTATATTATTATTTTTATATTTAAGTTTTAGTATGTATAAAATTACAATATCCTGGGTAGTTTTGTAATAAACTTAAACTTAGTCGACTTGTATCCAATGTTTTGTAAAAGACCATCTTGTAAAATAAAATATTATTTTATGATTATGCATGTCGCATGTATTCATATAAAAAAATATTTATAAATGTAGTTATCCTAAAAAAAATCTGAATTTTGCTGAACAGGAGGTCCCCACGACGTGGCAAATAAATATTCACATTGTGGGAGGAGAAGAAAAAACACTAATCAGACTTTGGCCACGATGTGGTGACGCAACATAATGATGATTTTGCAATCCTTCAATTGTTCAAGTTCAACTCATGCACATTTAATTGTTAGACAACCTAATGATCTGATACCACTGAAGGTTTTTACATGTGATAATGCGGAAAATACCTTAAACTCTTGAGGGTACATGCAATCTTAATTTGATCTATGTCATAACTTTATTGAAGCAATATACTATTGAACAACAAAACTTTATAACCTTAATTAAAATTGAAATTCACAAAAGGATTAACATACATCTTATTTTCTATTGGAAAAAAACCCTTTGATCCAACTAGATCAATCCAATAGTCTCTTGAAATCTAGCTTCAATTGTGTGCAAGCCTCTAATGGTTCACACCCACAACACAAGAACCCTAAGGAGAGAGGGGAGACATGAGGAAAATTTCGAGATATGGTATGTATATAAGCATTTACGAAAATCCAAAGACATAAGGCTCTATTTATAATTGATTTAAAACACCTAGAAACCCTAATTTAGGCATAAAATAATATTATTTCAAATAAGGTAATTATATATTTCCTTGATTAACTACATGAAGGCTTCCAAAAGGCTCCAAGAGAAGCCTCCAACCTCTCCAACAGAGGATGGTTCTGGACCTGTCCTCTGCTCAACTTTTGAAAAATTACAACTATAGTCCTTCAATTTATAATTAATTTTAATTAACCCATATACAATTCTAAAATAATTTTTATTCATCAATATTATACCAATTTAGTTAGGACTTTACTCTTATTCATCAATATTAAACCAATTTAGTTAGGACCTTAGATACCTTAATCTAACACCTATTACATCACTCCCTAAGCAAACGATAGGCACACCACCCGATGTTTCATATTCCAAGTCCAATATGGACGAGGATAAAACTTCAAACATCATTGCAAAATTATCTAATAAGGACGTAAATCTTAATATGTATGATGGGAGTTCGACAACAACCATCAATACTACAACTACTCCACAACCACCACCTACTTCTCCACCACCAATATCTACCATTCTACCTACAACAATTACAATTGTATTACCATATTTTCAAGTGGTGATAAACGAACCTATTATATCTTTATTCTCACCTCAATCCACAAATGTTGAGAAAATTGTTAATAAAGAAGAAGATGAAGATTATGCCATGGTTGACTTTGGAGACTTAGAGTTTAATCAAGATGAGAATGATGTTCCTAATAATTCCCTTATGTATGGTAAACAATTCTAGATCCTTTTTGAAAATCAATTATATTCTTTAATATTTGAATGATAGTGTTGGGAAGTCATTAGTTAGTGGGCTTGAGGTTGAGTACTTGTTAAAGTCGCAAGAGTCAATGTCTAGGACTGTAATGAATGTATTGAAAAGTGTGTTGATAAAAAGTTGGTTATTCACTCTCGTAGTTTTGATTATGAAATTATGAAACTGCAGGAAGCTACTCGTGAGTGTCATTTGATTTTTGAGAAGGTTATGAACTCGTCAAAGCAATCAATAGAGCTCAAGCTTACTGTGCTTCGAAATATGTTGGATCAAGAAGTTGGAAAGTTGGAGTTATCCGTATGATGATAGAAGACTTTCGCGCCTTTAATAAGGAATATGCCAAGGGTTTAATAGAGACAAAAGAAGGAAGATAGTCAAGTGTTTGTGAAGATTGAGAATTATCTTACTAGATTTCATGAGCGATTTTCGAAGTTTGATGTGCCTACATCAAATTTGATTCCTCAAGATCAAATAACATCCATGGTCTCTTCTGTGGAGCAGTCTTTTAAAGCTAAATTGGAACCAATTTTTGACCTTGTTCTTCGTCTTCCAACCAATGCTCCACGTTTTGCGAATGTGTCGCAAGGGGGAGAAATAGGGTTGGTGCGTCTGAAGGAACTAATGAAGATAAAAGCATTGTTATGGGAAGGGTTATGTCTACTCAAATTCTCACTTCGCTACTGATGAAATTTGTGGTGACTACTGCAAAAACAACAATAACGACTACTTCACATGTTAATGTTGACTTATCCAATTTGCAAGAGAAATGGATAACTATTGGAGAGGGAGGTTCGAGTCCAGTTGTGGTTAAGACTGCATCAACTGTTGATCCCAAAGATAGAGGGAAGGGTGCATGTTGAGCCCTTAGCTGAAGAAAAGAAAAGGTCAATTAAATAACATTGCAAGGCACAGGAAAGATGATCAACCTAGTGTTAACAAAGGTGATCCAAAACAAAATTTGGAATTACAAATTTATCAAAAGCATAACCATCAAAGAAGATGATGATTTTATGGTAAACCAAGGAAGAGCTATAAAACTGAGAATACAGAGTTTAATTTACTAGATTTTCCAGTTAATTACTCTTTGTTTGTATTCTCACAATTTAAACTTTCTAAGAATTGCTAGATCAAGGGGGAATACAAAAAGCTGGCGATTCATTTTCACGTAGTACTGGGGAAGAGTGAAGAGGAGTTATGGTCATTGGGGAAAATATTTAAGTTCATATCCATCACTCCTTATGTGTTATTCAAAGGGTTGTTGCATAATTTTCGTTACAAGGTGGTTCATGCAAAAAATGTAGCTTTTGAGTTCACGATTGTAGATTTCCCACTCATGAACGTGAATGATCTTGTTTCGACTATTTTTTTGATGAGTGATCTAAAAATGACTAATATTCCAAACAAAAAAAAACTTATGTTCTCTGATATGGGAATCCTAAGACTTTTCTGGATACTTATTTTACATATCTGGCTCTGACATATATCGATCTTTCTACTCACTTCAATAGAATATCGAAAGTTTCTAAGGCATTGCTAAAAGGAAAAATAATCATAAAGGGTTATGAAGATGGAGAGATTATGCATGATCCTCTTGGTGTTGTGTTTATTGGAAAAGGGAAGAAGAAGAGTAGGAAAAAGTTCTTGTTTCGTGTTGATGATGTGGAAAGGTATTCCAATTCACATCTTAATAGTATCATACTTTGAATCAACAACTTTAAAAAAAACAAGAATGAAGACAGAATGAAGATCAAGAAGATTATTCAATGGTATACGAAGATACAAGGTTTTCCTATAGATTGTAAAGATTCTACCTAAAGTTTGATAATTCATCTTTTCTCACAAAGGGGGGGAATATTAGGACGTAATTGGTTATGAGAAGTTCAATTGGTAGTTATCTTTACGTGAAGTGTCTATAAATAACAAATAGGCACATGTTTTTGATATCTTAATGCATTTCCTAGCCATCAGGATGTTTTGTAGTGTCATGTATAGTCCTAGTATATTTGGTTCCATGAGTGCCCTATAAATAGGGTAAGTACTAAGAGGGTAGAGTAACCTTAGTTTTAGCATTTGATCACTTATAGTCTTATTCTCTCTGTAGTGTTCCAGGTATATTGAGCTAAAACTAGATCTTATTTACATTGACCTGTACTTATTCTGTTTTCTTAATCAATTGACTTAAACACATTTCAAATAACATTACAGACTGAAACTTGTAACACTTAAATTGGGGTATGTTTCGTTTTAGCCCTTTTTATTTCCAAATATTGCAAATTTGAACTTAGGTTTAGTACGCTAGATGTACCATTGGGTACGCTTAGTGTACTATCTAAGAAGCTAGTACAAGGGAGGTTTGATTGCGGAGTCGAGTGTCGTACACTAGGCTTATGCGGGTTATGATGGGTATACGAGGGTTCAATGAAACCCAAAATTAGGGTGTTGCACCCGATATAAACTCCTTAAGTCCCTATAGTTGGCCTCTTTACTAGCCTCCATACCTCCTAAACCCTAAATTTCGACCCTTATCCAACATTTTTTGTATTTGAGCTCTTGAGAAGAAAGTTGGTGCTTATTTCCTCATTTTGAAGGGATAGAAGAAAGTTTAAGGTTCATTGCTTTGTGTGAAGCTTAGAGATCCGTAATCATCGCTCATTTTGCAATGTATTTGAGGTATAAAGATCTTATCTTGACAAGTTCTCTTATGGATCTTCTTTTGGGCTTGTTTATGGCAATTTACCCCTTTTAAGTTGGTCTTGATGAGTTAAGACCATTTTAGAAGCTAAATATTGTAGATATGGATGTTTGGAGGGTTCGTTAACCTTAAAGGTGCAAACTTTATGGTGTTTATGGTCTCGTGCATGCATTAAGTCATTTATTAAGATCCTTTAAGCTCTAAGAGCCTCATTAATCCATGCATGCATGTAAAGTTGTCAACTTTATATGATAAACCATCTTAAGGTAGTCAGATCTGAGTTTGTATTGGGCTCTTAATCGATTAAGTGCTGGAAAACTAGAAGTTGGCCAATGGGGGAGTACGTTGGGGGAACAATCAGGTACGCTTGGAGTACAAGCCCTAAAGCGAGTACTTTGCGCAGACGTACTTACTACGCCCTACGTACTCAGCATGTTGGGCTTCAGATGCTTGAGCTTCAGTTTTGGCCATATTTGGACTTAGTTGCTTAGGGCCTCGTTCGGCCATTAGGATTTTGGGCTGATGCTTGTTGCGTTCACTTGGAAAAGGACCATGAAAGAGATTTGGGCCAAATTTATAAAATTGGGCCATAATTGGGCTTGGAATTATTGGATTTTGGACAATTAGGATTGGGCTTGGGCCTTGGGCCAAACATAGGCAAGCCTAAAAATGTCTTTTACCTTATTTTAGGCTCTTTGTGTGAGTTGGGATCTAATTATTTATTGGATGATTATTTTGTAATTGATAACGCGGGGGTTTTAGCGGGCCAGCAACCAGAGATTGTTTTTGTGAGATTCGACAGTGCGAGGTGAGTTTCCTGACCATGTTTAGTGGGTCTAAGGCACAAATGCTAGCCCATGATCAGTAATGTTAGGATACTAAATGTTCATACAACTCTTTAATATGTATGTGTCTATATGATTTCATTTTTCGGCGGGACCCATTATACTCAGTGGGCAGGGCACGTTATGAGAGTGTGGGCGGGGCCCGATTCACTCATTAAACAAAGGCGTATTATGTGTTTATTTATGTATGGTATGTGGTATTTTGGGAACTCACTAAGCTTCATGCTTACGGTTTTTAGTGTATGTTTCAGGTACTTCTAGTTCCAAAGGGAAGAGCTCGAGATGATTGCACATCATACACCACTCGTTTTTGCATCTTCGTGATTTACTTAGATATTGAGGATATATTGATATATTTGATAATCCTGCTTTTATAAAATTGTTTTGGGTTGATTTTTTATTAATCTAAAAATGAAAAAAAATTGGTCTTAATTTTGGGACGTTACAAGTTGGTATCAGAGCCTTGGTTTGAGGGATTCAGACACACTCTCGAGAGTGTTTGAACTCAAACTGAGGATTTGGTAAAGTTTTTTTCAAAAACAAAGGGAAATGTTTTAATAAGGAAAACAAGTTTTATAATTCAAGAAAGGGTGTGGCGCATGCATACGATCGAGCTCAAGTAAGTTTTCCCAAAATACTTGTATATCTTATCTGATATGATTTGATTTGTGAATCTGTGAATCGCATGCTAGTTAGGGCTAAGGATCTGCACAGTTTTTACATGATAGAATGCTAGGAGAGATGCCTTTATATGCCTATTGTATGAGTTTGTAGACTAGCATGCTAGTATTGATTAGTTGATGATAGGATCACCTGATTAAGTGATGCTCACAACATGTTATTGTTGCTTTCCCAACAATTTTTATTAAAAGGCGGTTTTATGTATTACTATTGCTTTTCCAGCAACTCTTATTATGAAAATCTCTTATTATTTCAAGGAAATCCCTCTTCCTTGCTCTTAACCTTTTAATTAGATTATACCATATATTGAATCAAAAGCTTTTGGGGATGAAAACTGCCAATTTTGAAAATTTTGGACCTGCGCGAGGGAACTCATTGTACGACGTGTGCACCAACAACAAATCAACATTAAAGTCGAATTATGGCCTCATTCGACACTTTCAAGACATTCATTTGGCCCCCTAATTTTCCTAAAATGGGTCCCACACTCACAACGCACACTTTGTGCACCTGCCTCCAATCTTCGATTTCCTCCTCCCATTCGATCTTTCTGCTTCCAGGTAACCTCTATTCCAAATCCTAGCTTAAATTTTGGGCTAAATTTCGAGTTATTAGGGTTATTGATGTTTTTTTATCAATTTTTGAATTTAGGTTAGTTTTTTGTGAAATAGATGAGTAATTAAGCATCTTCTACTACCGATTTTACTTCCTATATACTCAATTTTGGGTTTAATTCCTCCATTGATCCTCATTTTGAAATTTTGAAATTTGAAAATCTTTTAACTAAATCCGAAAATTGGTGATCTTTTAGTTGAAATGGGTTACCTATTTGTGTACTAGAAGTCCAGTCGAACATCTTTATATAGCTTTTGTGTTGAAAATTGGATGAAACAGTAGGTTTCCATGCCTGTTATTCATCGTTTTCTTGGAGAACGACGTGCAAATGCGTGTGCGTCGTGCGCACTCACATGCAGTGTGCATCTGGACCATTTCAACACCTTAAGCAACATTTGTCTTTTCTAAATTATTCCTAAATGTCTTTTTTCTATTTTTCTACAGATATGGTGAGACGGGGTCGACAAGCTACAAGTCAGTTACCTCCTAACTGGCCTTCACATCCTTTCCTAGAGTTCCTCGATGATCTTCCTGGTCGAATGTTACATCGTAAATTTTCAGACAATTTTTTTCATTTTAAAAATCACATAATTCTCATAAACACAATTCACAAAAACCCAAAGTATCAAATGATCAAAAACACATGTCCATAATTATTTGAATAAAAATCCTGGATCCTCAAAAACATAAGCCCATCTCGTATGTACAATCAAGTCGGGCGCCTTCCCGCAATCCTGGGAAGTACCTAAAACACATATCACATAACACGGTAAGCACAAAGCTTAGTGCATTCCCCAAAATACCACACATATCTCATTACCCTCTTATGACTATATCTCGAATAAGACCCT